TTCAGCACATCACAAACTTCGCGTCTTCACTCTAGGTTTGGGTGGGCCTAGCGGTCTCAAGTCCAGAGTATACTGTATAATAGAGTCTAGGGTTTAGGGTTTAGGGTTCAGGGGCCAAAAACGCCCGACCGAGTAGTCGGCGAAAGCATGAACCCGACACCCACCTCATCCACGGAGAGCTGCCTCTCCAAGGAGGCAGCCTTGGCGAAGTGCTCCTGCCGGACCTTGATGGCCTGCTGCATTTAACAGGGGGGGGGGGTTAACGTTTACCTCGGGATGCTGGACTTCGGGTTTGCCAGGTGCTGGAGTTGCGTGGAAGATTCTCCACTCTAATGGGTTTCCATGTGGCAGGTGCATGCGCACGGGGAGCAGCTCGGAAGAGACGTGCGCTGGACCACTCTGACCCTTGAGCTGCATGGGCTGTCAAATCTCTTGGCTTCAAATGATCAGCAGGTTGGGTCACTGGCTTCTGTCTCCTGAGTCGGTTCGTCGTGTAAGCGCAGTTTGAGGCACCCCCCCCCTTCCCCTTCCCCCCCCCCCCCTCATATGATATGAAGCCCCTCTCTGCACACCGGCAGCCTCCTCTTCGTGGAGTAATTATGAGGCTTCGGAAAGCCATATGTGATAGCTATGTGTTCTTACCATTTCAGACATTATCATTCTTTTCGGAAGGGGGTTGGGGGTGGCTGATTTCCATATTCAAAACTCAATGCCCCAAGTCGTACCCCGTTCTCCTCCAAGCCCTGCGAGGGCCCGAAAGCTCCGAATCGCAAGTCGTTGCTCCCCAAACTCGCCTGGATCAGGGCCGCCCTCGTCTCCTTTCGACTTTTTGGAGGGCTCTCGGTGCCATGTGCGTCTCTCAATTCCGTTTACACATCTTTGGGAGTGGGTTTCGAACACTTTGGGTGCAGAAGGCGCTTTAAAGCATCGGACTGCGCAGCTCACAAGCCCACCGAATTCCCAACCCTCTTGCTCCTTGGAGGCTGTCCGGGAGATGCTCAGCAGCTTGTCAGCCGCCTTAGCCTCGGGATGCAAGGACGCGAGCGGAGTCTGGAGGAAGACGCCCCACAGAGGATGCAGAGAGAGGCCCCCCAGCTTCGCGGGACCTTTTAAAGGGCGCCCATACAGTATAGAGTTGAGTGCAAGAAAAGGGGGGGGCTTCAGATCCGTGTAATTGCCTAAGGAGACCTGCGCTGATACCTTCTGCACAGTAGTCGCCCTTAGATTCCATGGGAGGTGGGGCACCGAAACAGCGGCTCCCCGAAGTTTCTGAAAAAGGTTGCTTCGCGCCAGCCCAGGGGCCGATATTCGGCTGTAAAGGCGACGTCCGATTTCACCTTGGGGGAAACTCTGTGGGGTCTGGGAGAATAAGTTGGGCTTTGGGGCTTTGGGGCTTTGGGGCTTTGGGGCTTTGGGCTTCGCGATAGGACTCTTAGTCTGCACTGCAAGCCACTGCAAGCCCCCAAGCGGCGGCACAGGCAGCATGTAGTTTGCAAACAAAAAGAACCACAAGACCCTGCGCACCCTGTCGCGTTCAGGTTTAGGGTTTTTAGCGTCTGTATGGCGTAGTAGTGTCGGTATTGCCATGACCGCTGATGTTTCTTCCAAGGCACGGATGGCTTCCAGAGACGGCATGATGGACTCCTTCGCGGCATTGGCGCATGGGTGAGATCTCGCTTGGCCGTCTTGTCTCTAAAGGGCTCACAGCTGCTGCTTCAACGATTGCCTTCAGCATGATGCTCAATGACAGTGTGCCATTTCTAGTGCTTTACTTTTCCCACTACACAAGGGAACCCCAAGAAGCTTAAAGTTCAGCCCTAAACCCTGAACCCTGAACCCTAAACCCACTTCGGAGGGTCCTTCTGGCCGATCCCGAAGGCGGCACCCAGGCCCTTGATGAACGCCGTGATGAAGTTGACAAACTCCCCTTCGTCCAGCGTGCGGCCTGGGGATCTTTTTAGGGTTTAGGGTTTTTGGGGTTTGGGGTTTAGGGTTTAGGGTTTAGGGTTTAGGGAGGGGGGGGTGGGTGGGGTTGAGGGCGTTCAGGGTTAGGGTTTTGAAGCTCAGGGCTTAGGGCTCGAAAAAGTCTAGGGTTTGGGGTTTGGGACTCTCAGGGGTTCAGGGAGGTTCTGTTTGCGGTTTCGGGGTTTGCAGGAGGGGAACATCCTACAGGATGGCATTGCAAGGGGGGTGCTCGTTGCAACTGAATTCTGCAGCAGCTCGGCAGCAACCGTGCCACAGGATTCTGGTTCGTGAAATCACCGAAGCCCGAAGCCGCCGAACTCGGCAAAGTCCTCCCCGAAACCCTAAACCCTAAACCCTAAACCCTAGACCCTAGACCCTAGACCCTAGACCCTAGACCCTAGACCCTAGACCCTAGACCCTAGACCCTAGACCCTAGACCCTAGACCCTAGACCCTAAACCCTAAACCAAAACCACAGCCAAGCCGGAGGTCGCTGTCGCAACCGAACACCTCACCAGAAAAGCAAACCCGCTTTCATAACGCCCGGGGGGCTATCATCCAGGTCGGCCAGGCCGAAAGTAAACCGCATCTTGTGCTTCCTCGGCTCTAGGGTTTAGGGTTTTAGGGTTTTAGGGTTTTAGGGTTTTAGGGTTTTAGGGTGTTAGGGTTTTAGGGTTTTAGGGTTGTAGGGTTGTAGGGTTGCCCCCCCTAGGCTCGGGCCCAGCTGCCTTCTGCTTAGGCCACATGTGAACATCTGCTGACACCGTAGCCCAAAACTCCCCCCTCCTAAACCCTAAACCCTAAACCCTAAACCCTAGACCCTTAAGCCTAAACCCTAAACCCCATAAACCCTAACCCCCCCACTCAACAAAACAAAAGAAGATCCCCGCCCAGAAGGGCCAGGGGGGGGGGGGGGGCCCTCAGAGGTTTCAAAGCAGAGGCACGGCGCGATGATCTGCGAGAGCATGACGCCGGCGGTCCTGAGGACTCTGCGTAAAAGGGGTTTTGGGTTTATAGGGTTTATAGGGTTTATAGGGTTTATAGGGTTTATAGGGCTTGTAGGGTTTATAGGGTTTATAGGGTTTATAGGGTTTATAGGGTTTATAGGGTTTATAGGGTTTGGGGTTTAGGGTTTAGGGAGTGGCCTGACCTCTACTTCTGAGGGCGGCGCAAGACAGGGGGACAAATCTGCAGCACTAAAGCTACAGGCCAAGCTGCGTCCTACCTTTAGCGTGTTTAGGGTTTTGGGGGTTTAGGGATTATAGGGTCTATAGGGTCTATAGGGCTTTAGGGCTGGGTTCACAGGGTTTAGAGTTTCGAGGGATTTGGGTTCATAGGGTTCAGGGTTTACAGGGCTTAGGGCCTCAAGCACTCCCATTTTCCTGCCTGCTGCCCAAGGCGCATAAGCGACACCACGGGAATCTTTACTCGCTGCCTGTCTCAAGGCTAGCGGGAAATCGGAA